AAAAAAGTGCTTTCGTCATGTCTTTCTCTTTGAGCATCTCCTCCTGTTCAGCAAGCTCAAGGGCCCTGAGGGGGGATCAGAGACCTTCGTTTACAAGCAGGCCTTTAAGGTACAACGCCTGGGGGCAGGGTGGTGGTGGGAAGCCACAGGGACAGGACAGGAAATCATGCTCTTCTTGAGAACTCAGGATGTTCTAGAAAACGCAATCCCAACCCAGGTTCAGAATCTGTATCATGGAGAACAGGCTTTGGCCTGTCATCAAACATCAGGTTAGGGTGTCAAGGTGACAGAAGTCCTTGTCGTTGATCTACTGCATGAGGTTCTTACTCACACAGGAGACTCACGGGGCATTCCAAACCAGAAGGGAGGAGGACCTTCTTCCCCATTAAGGACACACATGCTTTCTGAGTTAGGGATGGTCCCTGGGGGATGAATGAAGAGACGACACTATAAATTCAGCTTAACTTATGGAACTGAAGAAACCAAGAGGAGGGAGGAGGACTTGCTTTAGGCAAACAGCCTTGATATCCAGATAAACATCAATAGCAGCCTAGTCCCAGATCAGGCAATGTGGCATGATTCTAAGAGTTTCTCTGACTGAGTCCTCCTATACTAGTTCCAACAGAGGCCAGTATAGAGAAAAAAGCTTAGGTTTGGAATAACAGAGCCATGGGCTTGAACTTTCTCTAATAAGCTATGATAAGCCTTTGGACAAGAGGCTTTGGGTTTTACACAGCCCCCCCTTCTGTAAATCGCGGTTGTTATGAAGGCTAAATGTAGAGCACTTGGCACAGGGTAGGTGTTGAGCAAACATTTACTGAGCATCTCCCAGATGCCAAGCTAAGTGTACTGCTTTTCCACATGGTACCATCTAGTCGGGACGTGCTTCATCTTCACCCACACTCCTCTGCTCTTTCTCAGACTGCCGACATGGGGCTAACGGAAAACATCGGGGACAGTGGGCTCTGCTTTGAGTTGTGGTTTCGGCGGCGGCGTGCACGAGAGGCGTACACCCTGCAGGCAGCCTCACCAGAGATCAAACTCAAGTGGACAAGTTCTATTGCCCAGTTGCTGTGGAGACAGGCAGCCCACAACAAGGGTACCGGGCAGAACCAGGAGAGGGTGTGCTTGGGATCAAGGTTATGGCAGGAGGTTAGCTGGAGAGGGCCTGGGGAAAAGAGGGTATAAGATGGAGAAGGATGTATGAGAAGATTCAAGATCTGACATGAAAGAGACTGCTGAGATAGAAATTAATCTAAGGTGTACCAAAAGAAAAGAGGAAGCCACTAAATTTCAGGAAGGTGAGCACAAATGGCTGGGCAAAAGAGAGTCAGCGGGTGCTCAGTGCACCTGCCTTACCTTCCAGAACTTAATTTCTGTGTTAGCAGACCTAGTTTGTTTGTTTTGTTTTGAGCGGTGTTTTGCTAGTTTTTGTTTTTCATTTTTAATTCTCTTTAATTCTCATTCCACTCATCTGAAAAGTGGAAAGTAACATCTACATCTTGGTATGATAGGAAGGATTAAATAAGGTGATATATATGGAAACACTTGATAAACCGTAAAGGTATGTAAAAATGGGAACTTTGCTCTTAATGCCCAAGATAAAAGGAAGAAGGTGAGTATTAGAAGAGAAGTTGGGTAGCAGGAACGCCAAATGGGCAGGATGCAACAGGTAGAAGAGACAGATGTCTGAGGGGGAAGTCCAGGACCACCATCATCATCCGGGTCCTAACAGTCAACAGGAGAGTAACAAGAGACGCCAAGGGAATGAGAATGAGGAATGAAGAGCTGGGAAGGAGCAAAGAGATTGGTAACATGGTCTCTGTTCCCTAGAGCTCCGAGTGCAGCAGATGGTCTCCATGGGCATTGGGAATAAACCCTTCCTGGACATCAAAGCACTTGGGGAGCGGACACTGAGTGCCCTGCTCACTGGAAGAGGTGAGGGCCAGAGTGCTGGGGGCGGCCCCCAGAAGTTAAGACCTTGAGAGTGAATGCACAGTGAGGAGGTGCGGTGGAAAGAGAGGAAGGGTCACAGGTGGATATGTCTTCTCAGAAACTGTGGGACTGACTGGGAGGCCCTCTAGGAGATGAGGGTCCTTTCAGGGAGCCAGGAGGGCTTTCCCACACCAGCACCCCACCCCTCCACCTCCCCCACTCTCTGCAGCCGCCCGCACCCGGGCCTCGGTGGCCGTGTCATCCTTTGAGCATGCCGGCCCCTCCCTTCCCGGTCTCTCCCCGGGAGCCTGTTCCCTGCCTGCCCGCGTCGAGGAGGAGGCCTGGGATCTGGACGTCAAGCAAATTGCCCTGGGTGAGGCACCTCTCAAGGGGTGGCTCCCAACAGCTGGGTCATCATGGTGATGTTCAGGCTGCTTGCTGCTGAGCAATTCCTTTCTCTAGCCAAGTGGCCCGGTTGCCATGACAACTATGTACAGCTTCCCCATTGCTAAAAGAGCCTTCCATCTGGTTGCTAGGGTAATGCTTACAGCAGCCTGTTGCTAAGAAGCACTTCCTCTGTACCTCTCTCTCTAGTGCTCCTTGGGTTTCTATGGAAACTGCTTCAGCTTCCTGTTGTACCCTCCTGGTTCACCACGGCAATCCTTATAGTTTCCTGTCGCTTCTTCCCTGGTTGCTCTAATGATGCCGCTGACAATTTCCTGCCTCTTGGTAGGGGGGTTCTCTTGCAACTGGATTGCTATGGTGACTTACAGCTTCCTGTTGCTATGGAGCTTTTTCTTCCCTGATGGAGCAGCTTGGTTGCTTAAGGTAATCTAGAGGGGTTCTGTACTCTGCTCTCACCCTAGCTTCCCCTCCAGCCCCAGAAACACTTGACTCTTCTGGAGATGTGTCCCCAGGACTGAGAAACAGCCCCAGCCTGCAACCCCCACACCCTGGGAGCAGCACTCCCATTCTGTCCAGTGGAGGGATCTTAGGGCTATCCCGCCAGGTAAGTCCTTGCAGTAGTGCTGAGAATGGGATGGGCTCTTCTGATCGTTCAACTCATGATGGGCAGAGGAACCAGTGAGCCTGTGCTCCCACAAGGCTATAGGTTAGATGGATGTATTGTCCAGTCTGCGTTTCTCCTCTCCTCGAGGCCTGGCTGAGAGGGATGAAGGTCAGAAGTGAAAAAGAATCTTTAATAAGGAGTGTAGTGCAAGAGTGAGAGAAAGGGGAGAATTCTAACAGACTGGTTTGAACTTGGACTCAATCAGCAAAATTCAGGAGTGATGAGGAGGAAAAAAAGGGTGAACTAATTGACAGGCTTGGGGGAGAGGGGGGGTTATATAACCTCTCTATACAAGAGAAAATTTTTTATGCTTTAAACTCACTGTAGTTTCTCTTCCTTCAGAGCCATACCCGGGCCCTGAGCGACCCCACCACGCCTCTGTGACTGGGTGAGTTGGTACCCCCTTTCTACCACATCCTACATCCTTCCCCTTTCCCTTCCCCAGCTGCTTGGGAGTCAGCTTCTTCCCTCTCCCAACCCATCTTCCCTCTTCTTTCCCGGCTTCCAGAGAAGATCCGGAGCTTGGCTACCGTCCCTCTTCTCGGCACACTTTGGGCTGGGATGCTGAGGGCACAGAGTGGAGGACTGGAAGAGCACTGAAGTCCTTCCCTCTCCTTCCTGGACAGAGAGGAGGTCAAAGGACTAGTATGTTTCCCTGCTACCACTGTCTCTAGCTCTTCCCAGCCAGGTGCCTTCCTCCAAGAACCAGAGTGTCCACACTTGCTTGCCTTTATACCCTGGAGGTGGGGAAATTTTCCCCCGTCCAGTCCTTCCCCATCCGGGGCCAGTGCATACTCCCAGGACACCGCTCCGTGTCAGCCCTGCCTCCATAGCTTGTGTTCTCCCCTCATGCCGCCCCTGACTCTTCCTGAGAAGACTCATCTCTGCCAGTTCCTGGCAACTCCGTTCTTGGGGGCGGGGGTCATAGGACATGGAGCTATGCAAACATTACAGAAGAGTGGGGCAGGGAACTGCAAACTTTATATATGTAATTACTGTTATTATAATACTATTGTTATATTAAATATATTTACTCACACTTTGTCTCCGAACAGCTAGAGCAGACCTCAGGGTTGAAGTGATACCACTAACTTGAGCACTTCCGCTCACCCGATCGTTAACTAGAACACAGAAAATAAAGCCAAGGCTGCAAGGTACACTGTACCTCCTTACTGGCAGAAAGCTGGGCCTGGGTGAACGTGCACCCTCCCAGAGGAATGGCCTCCAGAGGCTTGAAGTTCCTCCTCTCATTCTGCATGCACTTCCTGAGGCTGAGCTGGTCACAGTCAAGCTGGGGTCTAGCACCATCCAGCAGTTTCTCAAGATGACATTCTCGGATCACAGTACAGGAGAACAATAGGCTACTTGTTAAAATACTAATTCATGGGCCCCACCCCAGAGCTACTGAAGCCAAAGCCTGAGGGTAAAGCCCAAGCTTCTTACCAAGCTCTTTGGGTGGTAAAAAGTGCCTGAAGAAACGACTCTTTTCTGGATGCAGTGGCCCAAGGAGGACAGGACATAGGTAGGCAGACACAGTGCCCTGTGTCTCAAGACACCTGTTTATTGGGGACACAACTCTGCGACAGGGATGACAGGAATCGTACCAAAAATAGCGACGTCTACAGGGCCCCTGAAGGGGCTAGAAGGGTGCAGTGCCCCCCACCCCCACCCATTGTACAAAAATAAACTCTCACGCCTATGGACCAGCAAAGACTGGCAGAGCTGCCCCTCAGCAGGAACACTCCTCTCTGCCAGCCCTGGGACCCCGTTCTTTGATCCTCACCCCTGCCACTGCTAAGGCACTGTGACTCTCCCCTGGGCTGGGTGGGTGTCGCCCGCCCACCGTCCTCACGCTCTCTGGCCCTCCACCTCTGGTCCGCCCGGGGCTGGGATATGGGTCCCACGCTGCCCGCTGCTGGCTGCTCTACCCAACTACCTCTACCGCTGCCCCGCTCCGGCGGGGGAAACTAAGCTACCGGCCCCCTAAGAGGGCTCCCTACCTTTCTTGGCCCCCTAGCCCAGCCTCTCCGGACCTTAACAGCCCGGGGCCCTCCTCCCCTTCCTGCGGAGGAGTGGGAGGGGTTTCTCCTGACGGTGCTCGGGCATAGGGCGGGGATGCATCGGCCTGGGGCGGCCTGCGGCCCCGAGCCCTGCGGCTGTGGTGCACTTGTAGGTGCAAGGCCATGAGCTCGGGGGCTCCAGTGGCGAAGGGACAGAAGAGGCATCGGTGGAGGGCACCCCCTGGCCCAGCCTCGCCTCCCGGCCCTGCCCGCAGGGACAGGTCCAGGGGCTCGGCCTCACCGCCTCGCCCGTTGCGCAGGGTCCTCCCGGGGCTGGCGGGCTTCCGACGGGACCCCGGCGCGCCGCCACTCGTGGGAGGCCGGGGGCTCGCTCTGCCCTCTACCCAGGTCGCAGGCTGCGGAGCCGGCTTGGCTCCGGACGACTGGCCCGAACCCCGCTGGGAAGGGGGCGGTGGCTCTGGGGGTGGCCCGGGGCCGGCTCCGCTCTTCTGCTCCCGGTGGTGGCGCTGCAGGTGATACTTGAGGGAGCCGGACTGGGTGCCCGCGTAGTCACAGTGCGGACACTTGTAGGGGCGCTCGCCTGGAGAGGAGGGGTGCGATGATGCGAGTCACGATCACTGCCCGCCCCTGCCCGCGTTTCACTCCACTACAGGCCTTTGGGCCAGGCCAAAAAAAACACTGCCTCACCCACCCTTCTGATTTGAATTAAGAGGTGTTTCTCGTAGCTCTCACCCGCACCCCGCTTCCTGACCTCAGCCTCCTCCCCATCCCGGAGGTTGCCCCCTCACCTGTGTGCACTCGCAGGTGCACTTTGAGGTGATGCGCTGAGCGGAAGGATTTTCCACAAAAGGGGCAATCCTTGCCGGTGGCCCCCCGGCCCCCTTCAGGCCGGGCCCCTCCAGCTAACAGCCCATTCTCTTCTGCAATACACGCATTAAAAAAAGTCAGAGGGGCCCGTTGCCCTAACTCTAGTAGGTCCATGCGCCCCCATACCCACCCACAGGACTGCTTCCCCTCCCAGCCCAGGAGGAAACCAAATGTTTGCGGGAACCTGAGAGGTTCGAACTAGCTCTGAGTTGGACTGTGCCCTCAAAGGGTCGTAAAGCCTCTACGGGAGGAAAACCGAGAAATAAGAGGCAGGTCCTTTGTAAGAGGAGGGGGCAGGAGGGCAGTGGCGGCGTCAGAGCGGGCCACAACGTGGAACCCCTTAGAGTTGATCCTTACGTACCCTGCGTGGCGGTGGACCTCGCCTGGGCCCCCGCGGCAGGCGCAGAGTGCCCCGGGGCCTCGCCCGGGCGCGGGGGCAGGGAAGCCAGAGGGCCCACCGCCCTGCTCCGGGCCCAGGTCTCTTCTTCTGCCTCCACCACCTCCTCTTCCTCGTCTGGCTCCTCGGCGCGGTGCCGGCGAGCCCGGGCTGGGAGAGCAGAGGGCAGGGGGCGGAAGCTTCCAAAGCTGCGGCCAGCCCCGGGCTCAGCGCCCTCACCGTTGGGCCGCGTCTCGCCGGCTCGCAGGCTCAGGTAGCCCAGGAGGCTCGGAGGCTCACGGCGCTCAGCCGGGGTGGGCGCCGGGGCCAAGAGGAGCGCAGGGCCCAGAGGCTCATAGGCAAGTAGACCTAGGTCAGGAGGCTGGGGGGCCCGGGCAGGCCCGGAACCAGGCCCCGGAGCACGCAGTGGGCCCAGCTTGCTGGCGTGCACTTTCATGTGGTTCTTCAGGAACCAGGGCTCCTTGAAGCAGCGGCCACAAACAGGACATGCATGATCGAAGGAGGCCTTGTGCTTGCGCATGTGACCCTTGAGAAACCAGGACTGCGTGAAGCTCTGGCCACACACTTGACAGCGGAACTCCGGAGGCGCGGGGGGCTCCTCGGGAGCAGCAGGAGCGGAGGCGGGGGTTGCCTCACTTTCAGGCTCCGGCTCTGGCTCAGGGACCGATCTAGGTTCAGGCTGGGGTGGAGGCTGAGGCTGGGGCGCAGCCGAGGCGGCCGCCAGGGGGCGTTCGGGAGCTCCGTGGGCCGTCAGGCTGTGGTGCAGCAGCTCCTCCTCCTGGCTGGAGCCGAAACTGCAGAGGCCGCACTTCCAGGGCCTGTGCAGAATGTGCAGGTGGCGTTCGCGCTCCGCCGCGGTGCGAAATTTGCCTTTGCAGAAGGGGCAACGAAAGGCGGACGACGAAGGGGCCTGGGGCCGCGCCAGGCCCTCGGTGGCTGGGGTGGCCTGCAGGCCCCCTGAGCTTCGAGGTCTCCCCAGCCGGGCTTCCCGCAGTAGAGCGCGCTCCTCCAACTCCAGCAACAGGCGCGCCGCGGGGCTTCGCGGGCGCTCGGGCTGGTGCGTGCGCAGGTGTGAGCGCAGCAGCGCCCGCTGCGCCGCACGGTGGCCGCAGTGCGGGCACTGGAAGGCCTGGGCGCCTGGATGCGCCCGCAGGTGCAAAGCCAGGATAGAGTTGAAGCGGAAGCGCTTCCCGCATACAGGGCAGGGGAAGCGCCGTTCGCCTGCGCGACTTTCAGACCAGCCCACTGCTCCCATCCCTGGAGACCCGGCGCTCACGCCTGGCCCGTTGGAGTAGCGCTGCAGATCCAGTTCGCCGTCGAAAGCCGGGGGCGACGGCGCTAGGTGGCCGACCGGGGCACGGGGACGTGAGCCCTGTGGAGAAAGATGTGAACAGAGCGAAGGGTGGAGAAGGGAGAGCTGTGGGGGCAGACATGGACATGGAGAGCCAGAGGAGCCCAAGAGAGGGTGGATCGGGGCCTGAACCAAGAACACCGGGGGCCCCTCCCACTCACCTCGAGGAAGTTGGGGGATGAATGGGAACTGAGCTTTTGGAACCACGGAAATAACTTAATAATGGGAGGCCAGAGAGACAGAAAGAGAGGTAAGGAGGGGAGGAAGTATAGTTGCAGGTACTTGTAGGTTCAGGCCAGAGCCTCACTCACCTCCATGGACCCCCTTCACATTCTTTGGTTCTGAGGAGTGTACGGAAGAGGAGGGGGAAAAGCTGCTAGTGAAGGCAACAGGTGCTGAAGAGCTAAAGCAAGAGAGACAGATTTGGAGCAAAGGATGAGCCCTGATTTTCAGCAGTGGAAAAAGTCACCCCTAACCCCAGCCTCTTCCGGAGAGCCCCAAGCTCTTAGCACGCTGGAATCTATCCCTTCTCCTCCCTTACATCCTGAGACAGGAGGAGGCTGCTGTCTTCAAAACTTGTACTACTTTATTTGTCCACAAGTCTCCCTGATAACCCAGATTTCTACCCCCCAAATTATTCATTTTAAATGCCTTATCCAGAACAACCACCACCACCACCACGTCCCCCACCCAAGTCTCCGCCACCCTGGTGGTGAAAGAGACCATCACAGTATACTCTTCTCTCATTTAGACTGGGCTGTGCAGTGGGAAAAGCAAATGGGGTCGGCTTGCCATGCTCCTCAGCTATCCAAGTGGGACGAGTTGCTCTCAGACCCCTAACTGACCAGCCAGCCAAACATTCTTGCAGGCTCCATAGTTCTTCCTTCTGCCTTTATCCTGTCTTTCTGTCTTTCCCCCTTATTCTTCCTCCCTCCGCCTGGATTCCTGATCCATTCATTTCCATTCATTACAGAGACTCATTCATGCATGGGAGAGAAACACCTCCCAGCAGCAGAGTCTGGAGACAGACAGAGGGGGAGGGGCATGAAGGGGGAGAGAGCCAGAGGGAAAGGGAATGAAGAGAGAGTTGGGGGAGGAGTGGAAGTTAAGAGGGGCTGCTGGCCTCGGGAAGGGGTTAAAAACTGCAAATACCGGATAGAATTTATCCCCTCGTTTCAAACCTTGGAGCCTGCAGTTTGACGGGGCACCTCAGCCCCTTTGTCCAGGGCTGTTCCGAGGTAGGCTTTCCTCCTCTCTGCAGGGGAGAGGCTCCCTCACACAAGAGGAGGATTACACTGGCTCTGAGCTCAAGAGGCTGGAGTGAGGGACGGGGGGCGGGGCTGGGCCATCTGCACAGATAGGGGCTCAGCACATGCTCTGAGCTGAAAAGGGTTAAAATTCTCCAGGCTACAATTCCCTGGGCCTGGGATGTGCAGAGCTCCAGTTCTGAGGAAGGAGAAGAGCAGCGAGAGGAAGAGGACTTGGGGGTGGGGGTGGGGGGCGAGGATCTCCTGATTCTAAGCTGCAGAGGAGGTTAGCATTAGGACTTAGAAGCAACCCCAGAATTAAGATTCATGGAAATAGGCCTAGAAGAATGACCGGAAGTCATCTAGTCTGTCTGTCTTGCTTACATATAGAACTGTATGTGGTCAAAGCTAGACAAATGTGGACCTTACCTGAATTTTTTTTTTTTTTTTTTTTTTGGCTTGAGACAGAATGTTTGAGGTATAAAGAACCTCCTTACAATAGGCATTGTGAAACTGAAATTGGTTACAGAGAAAGAAAAGGATTCAGCATTATTTTGCTTAAGGAATTGTAACAGAAGAGAACTGAGCTAGGGTCAGCCCTGCAAAGAAAAAAGGCTCTGGAGACCCAAGGATGCTTCAATTTTTGACGTTTAGTAGATGGGACAAGACTCTATGAAGGGTCAGGTACCTGTTACATGTGGAATCTGGGTGATGGGAATTTTATTAACAGGAGATTAGTTAACAAAATGTCTTTGTCCAAGGTCACTAAACAACCTCCACCACAACTTTTAATATCTTTATTTCTGCAGCTCCAAATTAAGGCATCCACTCTCATCTTCTGGATCCTCCAAATAAGCCCCTTTCCTGAGACCAAGAGCCTTGTTGAGTTCATTAAGTAATATAATGAAAGATGAATTAGTGTAGGACTGAGGGGGTATACAAGACTATTGTGGGCCCAGTCAGATCATTAATAGCCCTGCAACCTTCAGTAAATCACTTAACTTCCCAGTTTACTCATCTGGAAAATAAGGGAGTTAGACTAATTTATACTGATGGTCCCCTCCAGTTCAAAAGTTTTGTGGTTCTGAGTCATAGGACTCTTCTGGACCCCAGAGAGATGTTGAAACAAATGGTCATTCCTTCAGTACCATGGAGAGTGCAGTGGGCTACCAGAGGAGCCTCTTTGGCCACCTCCATACCATAGAGCAATCAAGTGCTAGAGGGGCCACATTTGCCATTTTAGCACCTCACATAAGGCAATGAGAAAAGCCAGAGGATTTTTAAAAATTCTTATCTGGAAACCGTAGAGGGGCGGGGGGAAAAACCAGTGGTACCAGAGGGATTATTTTGGCCTTTTGGATGTCACTGAAAATAGACAGATGTAACAGAAAATAGATGTAACTAGAAGAATTTTAATTAGCTATAAGGAGTGTTCTGACAGTTACAGTTTGTACATCCTGGAATGAGTTACTGAGGCATCATATTTGGGTCCATCACATTCTGTTGCTCTCCTGGGGATTCCCGGAACATCCTGGTGTACAGCCAATCTGGTATATTCAGAGGAAGCAGATGGTGGGGGAGGAGGGGGAGGAGGCTGGGAATACTGCATGGTCATAGCTGACTAACCTATGGGCGCATACTCTGATTCTGAGAAGATTCTAGGGCCCTTAAAACTGCCTATAGGATAGTAAACAAAATACCTCATGGGAGGCTGATCTCATACCAAGGCAAGTAGAGTAGGAATTGGGCAAAGCTTCCTCCCAAAAACAAAACAAAAACACTGCTTTGCACATAGCAGTTTTCCAGGACGGAAATGCAGTGATATACAAGAAGGCTCAAAGTGAAGCTGAATTCCCAAGCAGAAAGTTTCCCCAGAGGGTAGCCTCAAATCAACAAAACCCACTGAGAGACCCTCCTAGGCTCAGTCAAGATCTCCAGAATCATCTCCTCACCAAAGAGGTCTCAAGAACCTGATCCCACAAGTTTTTCTTAAGACAGAACCCCAGAGCCCCAGATTTTATGAAGTGACCTGGAACCCAGATCATGTATGCATTGCCCGTGGGCAATAATCAGAGTTTTCTATAGTCAGGCCCTAAACACCAACCACGAGACTTAGCCAGGCAGTAGCACTGACCTACTTCCCACCCTCAGTGGGAATCAAGGGTTATTTTGCCCTTATTTGGGTTCTACAGGGATGTAAGGCCAGGGATAGAGATCCAAAATCTTTCCAAAGCAATAGGCCAACTCCTTTTATGTGCTAGGAGACCTGGTGGGAAAGCGGGTGTGGATCATCAAACCTTACTGAGTAAAGAAGGATGGAAGAGTTGGTGAGAAGACTCTTAGAAACAATAGGGACAAGTACATAGATGCATCTGCTGTCTGGAGGACCATGAAGATTCTCTCTCAAACTTTGTGTTTAAAGCTTTTAGGGTCAAAGTGCAAGGGGCAACGGTTCAGGACTTGAAGTATAGGGCCTGGAGGGCAGTGATTAGGTCTCTGTCTCTGGTCATCTCTAATACTCGATGTTTTTCCCGCTGAGAATTTTTACACCTTCCAAATCCTCTAACAATTATGATTAATGCTGTACTAGATGGAGTTGAAAGGGAACTCCTTAGGTGGTCTAGAGTCAAGACCACCTTTATCACACGGACACGCCACTAGTTCACTTTTATGGCCTCCTTTCCATGGTCCTCTGACCAAAACTGACCTCATAGCACAGCCTGCCCACCTTTTAGACTGAGTTCTTGGTAAAGCCTCCTTCCTTCCATCCTCATTACCCTGAGTGGGGGGTTACAGACCTCAGTTGTGGGTTTCAAATGGACAGCAAGAGGTGAGAGGGAGGTACACCTGCTCACCTACAGCCACCCCACCATGGTGAATCTTATCCCAGAGGCATGTCCCAAGTTGACCCCTCTTCTGAAAGTTCCGAAGGACCTGGATCTGGGGGAGGGGCATGCAGCCCGCCCTAAGCCCCCATAGCTGGAGCTGACCCTAGAAAGGTCAGAGTCTCAGCACCCATCTGAACCTCAGTTCTCAGATTAGGGGGTGGGGAGTGGGTAGGAAAGACTCTGGGAAAATCTCCCTCCCAGAAGCAGGTTGGCAAGTAGGGCAAGACCTTTGATCTTGCACAAGAGGTTCTTCCAGCAGCACCCCGGGCCCCTCCCGGGGAAGATAAACCAGAAGGATGATGGGGGACAGGGTTGGGAGACTGGGAGGCCAAGGCTCAGCTACCCGGGCCCGGAGAACAAAAGCTGAGTTGCAGCCGCCTCCGCCGCTGCCGCCGGCCGAGCTCTTTGTGACACTTTGTTTGGGACGCAGAGAGGGAAGCACCCCCCCATCCTCTCCCCTCCCCCATCCCCCGCTCCCGGAGAGTTTGGGTCCCTTCCCCCTCCTCCTCCATCAGCCCTACCTGGGCCGGGGGGCACTCATCCACTCTGGTTCCCAGTTCGGCCGCCCGGCACCCCCAGGCCCCTCGCGCCCTGCCTTCGGGCCCCTACAAAGACGACCGCCCCCCCCCACCCCCGCTGGCCTTTCCCCTTTGGTGTCCGCTTTCCCGACTCCCCCACCTGCCCCCCCTCCTTCGAGGCCCCCCTAGCTCTCCGGGCTTCCGTGGCCGCCGCCCCCACCCCGCCCCCCCAGGAGCTCTGGGCGAAGTTTGCTTGGGGCCGAGCCGGCGCCCCTCCCCCGCCCCCGCCCCCTGCACCTGCTCCGAGCCGGGCGCGCGGAGCGGGGCCCCCCCTCCGGGAGGGGGGGCGGGGGCCGGGGGCGGGGGCCGGGTGGCGGAGGGGGGGCCGGGAGTGGGGGGAGCGGCTACTCACGAGCCCCGGGCGGGCGGCGGCGGAGCGGGCGGCGGCGGCGGCGGCGGCGGCGGGCGGCGGGCCGGCGGCGCGGGCGTCAGCGTTACGTGGGGCCGGGGGAGATGCGCCGGGCCCCGGCCCCCCCGCCCCCGGCCCGGCCCCCGCCCCCTCCCCGGTCCCCCGCCCCCGGCCCCGGCCCGCATTGTGTGCGGCGGGAGGCGGCCCGGCCATTAGCATGCGGGGGGCGGCGCGGCGGGGCTGGGAGCCGCACGGGAGCGGGAGCGGGAGCGGGGCTGTGGCTCCGGGGACTGGGAGCAGGGGACCCCGGGAGCCGCGAGAGGCGGCCGCCAGGGGCGGGGTGCGGGCCGTTTGGAGACTGGGGGCGCTGTCGGAGGGGGGGGGGAAACGGGGGTGGGGCGCACGGATGATTCCAACAGGAGACTGGAAGAGATTTTGAAAGGTCATCTCGTCCTTCCCCCAGCCTCCAAGCAGGACTGCCCCTCCCACCCTAAACCCGGACATACCAGGGAAGGAGCTGGCTCTGCCGCTCTTTCTGCCCCAACATGCACAGACTCGGGAAGTTCTTCCTGGGGTTTTATCTCAAAGCCTCTCCCTTACAATTTGTCTTCTCTTTTGGGGGAGGAGGAGGGGCGATTATAGAGATAGTTAATGTCGGCCGTGTAAGAAACATTAAAGTTACTCTTCGGTCCTTTCTGTTCCTGATAAACAATTCCTGCTCCTTCCTCTCGAATTCTGTTTTTCCATTCCTTAAGTCACTTTAATGGCTCTTCAATACAACAAATATTTACTGAGTGCTTACTAAGTACCAAGCACTACGCTCAGTGCTGTGGGGGATGAACACAGCAGGGGAATGTGGTACTCTCCCTCGAGGAGATTGTAATCTACACAGGGACTACAAATTTGCAAATTGGATACTTAGATTTGATCAATATTTCACTGAACGCTTGATCACATATTTAATAGTATACAATCCTTCCAATAACACTTCTATAATTAGTCTGCGTTTACAGGTAAGGAAAATGAGGCTAGTCTCTTTCCACTGGCCTACCAGTTAAGGGATACTCAGTGCAAGCCCAACATCTCACATTCTGTCAGGCCATCGCCACAAAATAAAATTAATGTACATAGGATAGAGGAGAGAGTAGACACAACAGTTCTCAGGATCCCTTTAAATGTGATTCTCACTGCCCAGGAAAGAAGAGTGGGCACAGTGTTCCAGTGAGTTGGCGCAGCACTCAACAGGGCAGAAGTGGCTCACACAGAAAGCCACTTGCCTCCCAGAACCCTGCCTCCTAGTTCTAACTCCTGGGGTCTTCTGGCTCAGTCTTTGGTCATTAATAATAGCCACTCATATTTATTGAGCATGTATGTGCCAGGTGCTGGACTGAATTGGTTCATTTTCTCTTTTCTCTTTTAATACTTAAGGCAACCCCTTGAGATTGGTATTAATTTGCCTTTAATGATAAGAAAACAGAGATTAAGTAACTTGCCCAAGGTCACCTGGGTTGCTCTGGGATTTCAACATAGATCTGGTTGCCTCAAGAAGTCAGGCTCACACCAAGGTGGGCTTTTCCTACTTTTGATCTACAGAATATATATTTGGGCCCAGGTGATTCTGCTTCTTTATTGCTGTTCAGTAGCTAAGTTGTGTCCGACTCTTTGCGACCCCCAGGAACTGCAGCACACCAGGCCTCCCTGGCATGTAGAAATAAATGACCCCAGTTTAGCTTCTGAATAAGTGCTGTTAATATATGGGCATCAGCTACATCAGTATAAACTAATCAGCATCATTAATAGTTATTATGTACCCACTCTGAGTCAACAAGCCTTCCCAGTCATATTACTCTCCGCCTTTTAATCACTCAGTTTCAACAAACTGAGGTTCAAGTTGGTAGAATAATGTATCCAAGGCCACACAGCTGGGAAAGTGTCAGAGCTTGCCTGGCTGCAAGGCAACATCTGTCCCTCAAAAATATTAATTGTTGCAATAGTGTCCTTTCCAAGACTGACCATTTAAGGACCATCTTCTAACATGTCTAACTACAGGTTATCACTGAGTCAAAAACAATCCCTACTATAAATAGAGCTCTCCATCCACTTAGTCAGTGCCCAATCCAGAGTAAATCCTTCAAGAAAGGAATGGGAGAGGAGAAATTGTCCAGAAAGTGAGAGATAAGAAGCCAGGTCTTGGCTGGTGTTGGGACAAACCTTCAAGTGGTAATGATGGGACTAATCCAGAGAGTGAGGTGGGATTTCCCTACAGAATGGCAAGTAATTTAAGGAGGAAGCCCCCTAAAAAAGGAAAAAGATTAGATGGAAATGGGACATTGGAGCCCACGGTGATAGTATCCATGTGGATAAGGTGAGTGATCAGAAGAGGCACCAAGGATGGGCAGAGACGGGGTCAACAGGAAATGGGAACAGAATGAGATAGGGCAAGGTGTCATGTAGAGTGAACTGAGGCTGGTGTCTACCCACCGCCACTCCCTGGATCCATAGGCCCTCATAGGGACCTTTGCCCCACCACACCTCAGCCCTGAGAGCCTGTCTCTGCCAGGACAAGTCTGTCGTCTGCTCTGAGCTACCAGGGGCCTCACCAGGAGTTCCAGGCCCGATTGGGACCCATCCCTTTGGAGCAGCTGCTTCAGACTAGGTAGGTATAAGGACTCTTAAACCTCAACTTCCTGGATATTGAAAGCGGGCAGAGGGGCAGCTGAAAGAGATGTTGCTGTATGTCCTGTCTTCTGATGAGTATCATGATGCATTTTCCCCAGGCTAGAAATCACAGAGCTCTAGTGATCAAGGGAACCATGGAGGACGGACCTGGTCAGCAAGACAGACCTAGCCTTCGTCTGGAAAAGCTACAGCACTGGGCCAGGCAGAGGCAGAGTGGGCGCCTCCTGGTGCTGGCGGTGAGACCAAGCTGCCCCACCCCGCCGCTCAGCATGTTCACTTGTCCCCCCAGTTCAGTCCTACCCATGTTTTGTAAGCACCTATCACGTGCCTGAAACTGTGCTAGGCTCTGAGTGGGAGGAGGGTGGAGGAAATATAAAACAAACAAGGCAAGACCCTTAATCTCCAAGTAGATTCCCCATATGGGGAAAACACATAGGCAAGTAACTGAACTACAGCATGAGGCAGAAAAAAATTAAAAGATATCTCCTTCTCCGTATGGCCCTTGGTTGACTACTCTCTGGCACTATGCATTCCTCCTCTTGATCTCTGGAAGAGCCAAGGATTGGGAGGAAGGGAGTTCCTGAGTTTCCCTTCAACTACACTGCATCTGGCCTCCAGGTGAGCCAGCTGTGGCTGGCAGTGGCTGTGCTGCCCTTTGCTGTCTCGGTAGCCTGCCTGAACTCTGCTTGTCACGTGACCACAGCACTGCCACTTGGGCCTGGCATACTGGTAAGAACTACCCCGTGGGAGGGCAGAAGGAAGGGCCCCCCCAACAAGCCAGACCTCACCACTTGCCTTTCTCGTCATTCAGGGTCTCCTCACTGGGACTGTTACCCTTGAGCTGCGCAGGGCACCCCGTCTCTGGAAGGTGAGAAGGGAAAAGAATGTAGTACTATTCTCCCACCCCCTAAAACACACACACACACACACACACACACACACACACACACAATCAGTCTAGGAAGTGAATTTCTGTTGACTAATTGTGTAGGCTCTCTGCCTGTGACTGGCCTAAAACCCTGAGAGGGGAAAATAAGGAAGTTAAAGGGCTGATGGTCTTGTTTGGAGGTGGAGGAATAGGAGCTGAGTTTTGTTTTCAGCTAGGCTACAGGTGGGTCTTGAGGTTCCAGTGAGTCCCCTAGGCTGGCAGGACTCAACTGGCTCACTGGCAGGTGCGCGCCATGATGATATTCAACACCTTTAATCTGATCTCGGGCTTCATCGCATTGGTGGTCGAGGTGATGAAGACAGCCTTGATGTCTGCCCCAACTGTCCCCTCCCAGGTACAAGTGAATAAAGGAGAATGTGGGAGGATGCGGAGGCAAGAGGAGGGGAAAGGACAAGGGCAGATAGGTGCAGGGTCCCCTGCAGCACACCCTCAGCCCCATCTACCTACAGCTAGCCGGCTTGCTGGTGCTGGAGCTCAGCGCTGAGGCCTTCACCCTAGGGGGAGTGCTGGTCTCAGCATACTCCCTGTTCCTGCTGAGCCAGAGGAAGCCAAGATGCTGCAGAAGCCGGAGTCTGCGCTACCAGGAGCTACAGGAGGTATTGAGGGCAGGGAGGAAGCAGAGAGCTAGAAGCTCATTTTTTTCACTGGCTATCCTGGTCAATGGTAAAGAGAAAATGGGGCGGGGCAGGAGGGGTTGTTAAACTGAAACTTATTAGTTTTCTAGCTTTGGACATGTCTCTCCTAGTGATGGCTAGGAGACTTAGACAGTAAAGCGTCTGCCTGCAGTGCGGGAGACCCGGGTTCGATCCCTGGGTTGGGAAGATCCCCTGGAGAAGGAAATGGCAACCCATTCCAGTACTATTGCCTGCAAAATTCCATGGACTGAGGAGCCTGGTAGGCTATAGTCCATGGGGTCGCAAAAAGTCAGACAGGACTGAGCGACTTCACTTTCACTTTCTCCTAGTGATGGTTAAGAGGAAACTGAGTAACTAAATGGTTGGGGCTAGAAATGTGGGAGAGCTTTAGGAATGTGACTAAATATTGGAAGGACTATGGGAACATGAGGGAAAAAAATGGGAGATGAGGAAGCTGCATGTCTCTGGGATTCCTCCTTTCTCACACTTTAAGTTTGCTCACCTCACAACTGTCTGGTTTTCAGGGCCTCTCAGAGTTGGAGGAAGTTCCTGAGTTGGAGACTGGTCCCACAGTGGCTAGCACAGCAAAGAGAACAAATGAGTGAGCTGGCAAGTGGAAGCAGACATGTGCTGCTCTCCTACCCGACGGGAACATTCTCCAGACTTTGCTGCACTGCGTCCCCCTGAACTCAAATTAGATGCAGTCCCCTGAGACATACATGAAGTCCAGTGGAGCGCCTTCAATTTTCACTGTGACTAGGCCCCTTGCTTTACCCTTCCCTGCTGGGGAAAGCAATACCTAGACTGAGTCTTTCATCACCTCACAGCCCTGAGAATCTGACTGCCTGCAAGATAAGATACCTTTTAACTTTCAGCTGGATCCATTTCCTCCCTTGCATTCTTACCCACTGCCTCCCCAGCTTCACATCTGCCTCATCTCACTGTTTCCAAGATTTCCACCTTTCACAATCCCATTCACTCCAAACCCAGGTTCCCGTACACGCCCACTCTGAGATCAATTCACTACTGGTGCTTTTGGTCTCTCGCTTCGATCTGGTGCCTTTCTACTCTAGCGGAAACTACAAATCCCAGGATGCCTCGCCGCCCCGTGGCCTGCTGGGAAATAAAGAGCCTTCCCTTCTGTGGTGGGGGCGCTGTGCATCTGCTGAATGACGCGAGGCGCTGGAAATCTGGGCCTAGACGAGCGTTTCCTCGGACGCGACCACTGGCCCCGCGTGCAGGGAGGAGCTGGGCGGGCAGTTCTACGCGGGGGCGCCACCACCCCAACCTCGGTAACTGAGAACTGACTGGGGTTCTACATTCCTCCATCTGGTAGCTTTGGAGACCGGCTGGGGTTGAGGGCTGCCCCTCGGCAGAGCTGGGGTTTCTCAGATGCTGTGGCCGTGCCCCCTCCCACAGTGCCCAGGTCCAAAGTCCTGAGACTTGGAGCGCGCGCGAGAAAGGGGTTGGAGATGATGAGTCAGAAGCCCAGGGCCCTTCTCATCCCCCTCCCCCGGGGCCTAGGCGCCTGAGGAGATCGGACTGGCTGGGCAGACGGGGTGGACAGGGCAGGAAGAGGGAGGGACACGGCGACCCAACCTAAGGTTTTCCCGCCTCTTGTGAGCTAGCCGGTGTAACGATCCCGCGTTGCCGCCACCCTTTCTCTCCAAGGCGGGAGCGGGACTGCGCAGGCTCAGCCTCTCGGCAGCCCTGCCGACCTTTGATCCCAGCTGCGGCGCGCTTACTGAAGCCCTGGTTGTGCTCAGCCCCCACCGTTTATGACCTTTGCAAGTGTGCAAAGATGGCAAGTTCAGGTGGGCTTGAGAAAAGCCCAGGAAAACGAGGGCACCCAGTAGCACCAACCCGACAGCTTGCTAGCCGCTAGAGAAACTAGAAATTGACCAGAGCTGCAATACTAAGAAAACTCACCCCAAATTCACATAGTGCCGGGATGGGTGTGCGCCTCACACTCATTTTTGTTCCCACTTGAGAAGGCTGCTTCTCCAGGCTTAACCAAGCCCAGGCACCAGTGAGGAAAGAGCGCAGCCTGGTTGCATTGCCCTGACATTGCCGTGGCGCCAGCTGTTTGTGACACCTTGGGAGTGGTAATAGTTGCCCTATGACAAGATTGTGTGAGTATTAGTGGGTGGGGACAGTTCTGGGATTAGGCTCTGGAATGAGAAAACAAAATCTCCCCCACCCCCACGCCCAGTCTAAATGCTGGAATAATGGAGAGCTCATCTGTGAAGCACTCACAATAATTTTCCTCAAAATCAGAAGGTGGTGGTAGCTGAAGGAGCTAGGAATAAAAGTCAACAATTCATTCTTAACTGTCTTCCACGTAGGAGCAACAAGTTTTAGTGATATGATCAGATATCTAGGAATTGCATTTTAGTTCTTGGAAAAGTTCATTTACCATGCAGATGAACCTTGTATCAGGTTAGGCTAGGTTATGCTGTGGTAAAAATGCCAAAATCTCAATGGCCTAAAACCAGGTTTACTCTCTGGCAGTGTACTCTGCTCCTTGTAAATTATTCAGGTACCCAAGTCAATGGAGCACCACCATTTTGAGATCCTACCATGTCACCATGAGACCCCGTCCCCCCATCTCCAGCCCCTTCCCAAGCTGGGAAGTAAACATGAAGAATTGTTCAGGTTCTTAAATGCTTTGCGTCAAAGGGATACATATCGCTTTCACACACACTTCATTGACAAAAACAAGTCATACAGCCACACCCAACTTCAGGATGGTTAGAAGGGCAATCTTCATATGCCTGAAAGGGGAGTAGACATAGTTCACTGAAAGAAGAGGAGGTAATCATTTGCAAGGATTCTTGAACAACTGAACAGTGGGAATTCATCCATTCCAGCAGTTATGCCTGTATCTACTTCTCTGGTTTTGATACATGAACCACTAAAATGAAGTTCTCTTTTTTGGTCCATGTCACATGCCTCACAGGATTTTAGTTCCCTGACCAGGGATGGAACCCATGCCCCCTACAGTTGGAGACATGAAGTCCCAACCACTAGACTGCCAGGGAAGTCCATAAAATGAAGTTCTTAATAGAAACTTAATAGTTCCCGCTGCCAAGAATAATAAGATTGGGAGTCAGAAAATCTAGACTCTGGTTTTGATGTGTAAGTTTGGGCAAATCAGACCTCTCTGAAATGCATTTTGCTTAAATGGAGATTATAATATTTACCCTCTCTACCTTACTGGAGTACTAAGGCTCAAATAAATCACACATGAGAAAAAGAAAAAAAAAACTTTAAAACTATAAAGCACTTCAGAGGTTGAAAATAAATTCCCTATAGAGATGAGAAATAGTGTAAATGAGTGAAGCAGATTAGGCATGAGTTAATAGGGAGAGATGGGAACTATGGTAAACTAGAGAGCCCACATTCTGTTTAAAGACTAACCCTACTCAACTCTACCCAATTATTGCCATGTGGGACTGTGGGCTTAGTATTGCCATTGTTCCAATTTTTCTATAATAGTCAGAAATTCTGACTTTTTAAATGTAAAAGCTTCTGATTTTAAAATGTTAACAACTGATTTTCTTAAAACTGAGTACCAGATTTGGCCCATAGTCCTTCAATTATTATGTCTCCTTTATATACACATATGGTAGAAATTTAGAGTTTAGATGTGCAATATGGTTCTTGTAGGCCATCAAAGCCTTTTATAAAATTCAAGAGTCCTGTAGAGATTTAACATTAGGTTCTCAAAGCCATTTTTTAAGAATCATATCCCTCTCATATTGGTTTTCTGGGAGGGGTATTTTGCCTCACAGGGATTATTTGGCAATTTTTGGGAGTGACAGCTTCAGGGGTGGCGAAGAGTATGTAACCAAAAGAGAATTAAGAGGATAAATTGGAAGATCAGAGATTTAGTCCCAGTGCTACTGTTGCCCCTTTCCCATGCATTGTCCTCTGTCAGCTGCAAGTGAAGACTGTGAGACTTGTCCTGTGGTCCTCATTATCCCCCCACCCCTTCTCAGCCTACTGCCTACTGACAGAGTTCCTAGCTGCTCCATGAAAGAATTCTGCTTTGCTGCAGTGCTTCCCAGCAACCATTGTATCTGTCCCTTCATCAGTTTGGCAGCTGCTATAGAAGTCACTCATGTTTTACTTGAATTGCTGCCCATTGGAACTTCACAGAAAGAAGTGACTATGACAAGGTTCCTGCTGACGTCAGTTTTAAAGGCCTTGACCCCATCCCCTACTTTAAGCATTTAAGAAATATGTGACTTCATATGCGGCTGAATTCTGAGGTGGTTGGGAAATTCTCCATGTTGATGAATTTTACCCTGATTTTTTTGAAGTTCAGTCATTTATTCTGACCTCAAATACATGATTGCAGACAACAGACATTTCCCAAATGAGGTATCAGCTTTTGCAGATGGCTCAGGTTTTGTGTCTTAGGCTGTGTCCTTTGCTGCCATCTTGTGGCCTCTTTGCTGCCCGGGGTCGAGGTCTCACAAAGGGCCTTCCCTCCAGGTAATGGCGTATGTCAGTGGCTTGTGGCTTAGTTGGAGAAGGAGTCTGCTCACTGTGGGGTATGTGCCAAATCCCTCCCCTGCTATGAGTCCACCTGGGCCATGACGCACGCCAAGCGCATAGCGAGTAGGCTGGAGGCACAGGGCCCTTCTGGGTCATTCCCAGCCCTTGGGCCTCCATGTGTTATGCAATCCTGGACTCAAGCCAGAAAATCAGTAAACTCAACTACCCAGGAGTAGTCGGAGCTGACCTCGCTTGCTTGGACCAGTGAATGCCCTGCAGCCTCTCTCTACTCACCGTCAGGGCTGAGATATCCTTTATCTTAGTGAGAAGGGATGATTACCCCATCAGGATTTTGTTTTACTGTCCAGGCCCATTGCTCTGTGTACACACCGTTCCTTCTTGGCTTGTCCAGCCAGTGCTGCTTCAAGTTCGATGTTTAATTGCTGGATTGAGCAGGACAGTGGCAGTGGGTGTCACTGTTAAGCAGTGTTTCCTATAAGGATGACAGGATCTGAGCACTGTAGTGAGCAGAGGTCCATGTCCAGGGCACAGGGAATCTAGGAGACTGCTCTTGTAGCTGGGCTATTGGTGACTGAGCAGCAAGTGACTCATTCTGGAGGAAAGGCAGGAAAACTTCTAGTTGGTGCTATTTTCTTTCATTATAATAGTGTGTTTAAAACATTCCAAGAGTTAAAGTATTGATAAATGTATAGAACTGTCCCCTAGCTGTTTGCCCTTCCTGTATATTTTACACATGTTTGGCTTTTTATGGATAGCCCAGACTCTACCAGGCCCTCCTTATCCCTAACTGCAGAATTGGAGGAGGAGACAAAGGAGGAGGGGGATGAAAAACAGTTGCCTGTAGTTCGTTTTAATATGCTTTCCCATGTATAAAAATTTAGGGGAGTCTGGTGCTCTGTGATGACCTGGAGGAATAGGATGGGGGAAGGGGAGGAAGGCTGGGGAGGGAAGGGCTGTATCTATAATTGCAGCTGATTTGCATTGCTGTATGGCAGAAGCTAACACAACACTGTAAAAAACTTTTTAAAATTAAATTTAAAAGTAGAAAAAAAAAGAAAAATTCAGGGGAAGGGCCTCCTGT